ATTTCGGGTAGCCGCACCGGGAGCAGACATGGAGGGCCTCTCCTGTCCCAGGGAGCCATGGTCCCTTGGCCTGAGTGAATAAGGGAGTGGATATGGTCATCGGTGTCGGAGGCGACATGGGTCCGGTATGGTAAGGCATGGGGGGACTGGGTCGCTCTGGAATGGAATCATGGTGGGTATGCCTCTGCATAGGGTGTTTTGCGCTTGCTCTGGTTCTGGGAGGCTAGCGGCTGTTCCCCGGCTACCGTGTCGGGGAAGCTATCGGGTCTTGGTTCAACCTAATTAAAGTGCCGGACGTTACTAAGGATTGCATGGTTCAGATCGCGATGCGAGGTTGGCGTAGGGGTCCGCAAGTGCGGGATTCTCGCAGGCCGGTTTCAGGTGCGCTGCTGCTGGGGATCGTGTCGGTTTTACCCCAAATGTGTTTTTCTGCTATGGAAGCCTGATTGTTTCTGGTGGCATTTACTTTCGCCTTTTTTAGGGCCCTCCGGATTGGAGAACTAGTGAGTCCTAGCAGGCGGCCTCCATGGGGGTTGCTTTTCAAGGACGTGACGGTCATGGGTGGTGAAGTGCGTTTCTTGGTGCGGTGGTCAAAAACTGACATTTTTGGCAAGGGGGTATGAGTTACTGTAATGGCACCCCCAGGCATAAAAGGGTTAAACCGTCGTTTAGGAGATCTTCCCCTTCCAGAGACACAGGCAGCTACTGTAGACACCAATCCACCGAACCAGAGAAGCATATGAATGCTCTCAAGCATATGAATGCTGTAAACAGCCGAATAGGAAAAACCATACGAATAGGTTTACACTCCTAGCAGTCAAACTGGAACAGCATACAATAAATCCCCCCAAGAACGAGACAAGGCTCTGTTTTGAGGGTCAAGCAGGAACAGACAGAGCTGTGGGTTTATTGTTCTAATGTACACATTCTTACACATTAGTACCACCCACAGGGTTTTGGGAAACAACCAATAAATATGTACAATACGCTCAGACACTGCAACACAAAATCCTCCCCTCTGCCTGTGATACAATTACCTTACACAATGGGTAATGTAATTATCACCGGCAGAGAAATACAATTTTTCCACATTATTCATAACTTTAAAAGTATGCATCACATTCACATACATTTTCAGAATCAGCATAATCCAAATACAAACATATGTCAAAATCATCCAAATTGGTCCAGTGGTTCAAAAGATAGATCGTAGTCCTTTGTGACCCAAGGAAGCATGGCTTTTCTGCCCAAAACCAGTTCCATAGAGTCTTCTATCCTGGAGATAATTGGGAAGTAATCCAATTATCTCCAAGGACAGAGGCAAAACTCCATTAAGCACATGGGAGTAAAAAGACAGTAAAATACAATAAAATACACAAGGTTACATTTATTACATAAAATACAGACATGCAACATATCCCCAGATAGCTTAGGTCTGAGCACACATTTTTACTGAATGGCGCTCAGACCACACACATACAGTTCAATTGCCATGGAGCCAAAGTCTTTTATTACACGAATAGGCTCCATGGCATAGCTATCTGGGTTAAATGAGTTCATTCAGTAAATCCGAGAATCTACCGAACGCCAGGGCAGAAATACAGGAATAGACCTTTCTGCATAGGAAAATAAAGTATTTAAATGCCGGTCCATAGTCAAAAGGCAGCAGGCAGGCAACCAGGGTCCTCCAATGCACAGTGGCGAGATTGGTCTTGTCACAGTTACCCTCAGTTTTCCCCGTCTCGTCCTTTCAGTCCTACAGTTCCGGACGTCCATGTGTCGTTAGCCCGCGGTTAATTCATGGGGATGGGAGCTACCTATCTCGCTTCCGATTTCTCCAGGTCTTTCGGTTGGCACTTGAGCGGCTCGGAATTCTGAGTGAGGACTTTGGGGATCACTCCTTCCGGATTGTGGTATCAACGGAAGCCTCTCGTCTAGGTTTCTCTGATCAGGCCATTCAGACTATTGACACAAAAAGGAATTTTGTGCTAATTAACACACAATTAGTAGAGGTAGGCAGCAACCCAGATGAAGGAGAACCCCTCAAGTCTTTCAGTGGATAAACAAAGATAGAAAAAAGATAAGATAGGTCTGCGCCAAGTAGAGAGAGATAGTCCAATAAAAATTTCACTAGGATACCAGTGGATAGTCAGAAATACTTGATAGGGTATGGTTTCTTGGTAGAGGTAGGTACGTCTGATGTTGACCACTCAGTAAATGAAAACAGAAGAGAGGTAGAGGCAACCAATGGTGCAGTATGTCTAAAATTCAAGGTGCAGTAGATAATATAAGTAGAGAACTCACATTTGGGAGAGCTATGGCCAGCTCTGGTGTGAATAGTGTACAGCGGTATAATCCCCGCTTATGGGATATGTAGGGAAGGGGTCTCCGTCAACACCGTCTGGTAGTCCAAAACTCGGAAAAGAGATAGAAAGCAACAACAGTGCTCTCAATTGTGATGGGGTTCAATGTGCAATAGGTAGAGAAAGGTAGAGAACTCACATTTGAGAGAGCTATGGCCAGCTCTGGTGTGGATAGCGAACAGCGGTATAATCCCCACTTATGGGATATGCAGCGGAAGTGCGCCCGTCAACACCGTCTGGAAGTCCAAAGCTCCAAGAGAGAAAGGTAAAAAGCAACAATAGTGCTCTCAATTGTGATGGAGTAAGGGAGTAAAATATAAGATAAAATAATACTCACTCAAGATAGAACAGAGGTTCTGCTCAATGGATAAGCGTTGGTGGTATGATCCCCATCTGGCATTTCTTGGAGTACTGGAACAGTAATATTGCCAGTGGAAGTAAAAATAACCAGGATAACCAGGAACATTAAAATGCCAGGAGTTAGTAAAAAAGTTTAAAGTGCATAGAGAGTGCAATAAAAAGAGAATTGGTACGGTAAAGTAGCCAACAAAAATTTTATTGTTCTAATATACACAGTAAAATATAAGAGTAAATAACCATAAACACGTTTCACCATAAGTGGCTTCTTCAGAATTCAGAGGATTGGTTTGTGGAAACCTGGGAGGTTTCGGTCTTATGTGTGCCCTACGCGTCTGATCGGTATTCCCCTTGTGTTTTCTCCACAGGGCCCGGCCGACGGATCTGGCTGATTGGGCATTCCTATATCTACTGGGTCCACCTCCGGGCAGGGGTATGCCCGTGTGAGATGTGGCTTGGAATACCCCGGGAACTGGCGGAGGTCCGATGGTTCGGGTTCCGGGGCATGAGATGGGGCCAGCTTTTGCTGGAGGTTGTGCAGTTATCTACTTTTTAGGGGCTCCGGTTGTGTTAGTGGTGCATTTGGGGGAAAACGATCTGGAGGCGCTGCCCACGTGGGGCCTTGGGGAACTGATTAGGCGGGATTTGGCGTGCTTGCGTGTTCTGTTCCCGCAGCTATGCTTAGTTTGGTCGGGCATAGTGTCCAGGAACTATTGAAGGTGCGCACGCGATTAAGGAGCTATTGAGCGCTGCAGGGTTAAAATTAATAAGAGGGTGTCCAAATTTGTGCTCGGCGTCGGGGGTTTGACGGTGCGGCACCGTATCTTCGAACGGGAGGCAGCGATGTGGGATTGGACTTATTTAACTTAGCGCTGCAGGACGCGTTGGAGCAGGCCATGGCGTTGCTTGAGGGTCGTGCCCGCTGGTTTAGGCATAAATACAGCAGGTGCTAGAGGCGGGTATGGTCCTTGCCGAACCAGTTGGGGAAAAGGAGTACAGTGGAAGAAGGAATGTTGGGTCTGGTCCCTCCCCTAACCTCTGGAAATATTTTGGTATTAGGGCGTGCCCTCCGTGCCAGGAAAGGCAGCCAGGGGTTGGCATATGGATTGGAAGGCCAAGTTGAAGGCCAGCTATTTTGGACGAGGTGGGAGGGCAGGTGCCCTGGGAGGGTACTCTGGATGGATTATGGTCCAGTTGGCAAGGACGAGTTTGAATTATATCATACTCATATCTATAAATGGTTGGTTTATATATATGCTTGTCAATTTATAAATAAAGCTGTGGCCTGCTTTAACCACAATTATGTTTCTTGGTCTTAATTGGGGGGGGGGGGTTGGTTGGGATAATGGCTCGCACCACACAGTAACCACTACCTACACACAAGGGGTTTCACGGTTCCCCCTGGGATGGAGCTCTGGTACATAAACAACAGATCCAAACTCTCAGTATTGTGTTTATTTTCTACACTAAAACTGTAACATATCGGCATGATGTACTGCTGTAATGACAATTGAATAGGGTGTGAAGTACTACAAGATGAGACCACATATGAGACACATAATAAATTATAAAACATTTATTTATTTATTTATTTATTTATTTAAAAGAAGCATACAACTGGAAAAGTCCACAACGCATAATGGTAGGTTAGCTCAGTATAGCAACGCATCTAACTTTTAAATTCCCCAAGGGTGAGCGGGCAGAAATAAAGTTTGGGATTTGTGTGCCATTCCTCCTACCAACTGACAGCACGGCAGGAACCCAAATAATTAACCATACCATTTCAATGCTGCTCAACTAGCATTGAGAAAGAGGTACAGCATAAAAAAATAACATGTAAAAAGATAAATAAACTCCAACCACAAGAGGTGCAAATAAACGTTTCACCCAGACTGGTCACAGGCAGTGGCTGGTAAATGGACAGTGATCTGTCCATCCCTCATTTTTCATTTAAAGTCCTCCATCCAATGTCCCATCCCATTATTTCCCCATCCCATTCTTTTAAAGGTCTCTTCCCCAGAAGGTGCCCTTTTAATGTGGGTGGGGGGTGAACAATGGCATGTACCACCCACAGGGCTTTGGAAAAAAAACAATAAACACGTACAATACACTCAGACACTCAGACACAAAATCCTCCACTCTGCCTGTGATACAATTACCTTACACAATGGGTAGTGTAATTATCACAGGCAGAGAAATACAGTTTTTCCACATTATTCATAATTTTAAAAGTATGCATTACATTCACATAAAACTTACATTTTTAGAATCAGCATACTCCAAATACAAACATACGTCAGAATCATACAAATTGGTCCAGTGGTTCAAAAGATAGATCATAGTCCTTTGTGACCAAATGAAGCATGGCTTTTCTGCCCAAAACCAGTTCCACAGAGTCTTCTATCCTGGAGATAATTGGGAAGTAATCCAATTATCTCCAAGGACAGAGGCAAAACTTCATTGAACACATGGCAGCAAAAGACAATAAAATACATAAAAATATATAACTGTGCAGCCATTGTATAAAACAGGTACATTCAACATATCCCCAGATAGCTCAGATCTCAGCGCACATTATTACTGAATGACGCTCAGATCACACACATACAGTTCAATTGCCATGGAGCCAAAGTCTTTCCCATAGTCTTTCATTATACGAATGGGCTCCATGGCATAGCTATCTGGAGTATCACCGCTCAAACAGGGCAAGCACCGAATGACCTGGCTTTCGTGTCTTTGCAGGGGAAAATCAAGTGTTTCAACATAGGGCCATAGTCTAAAGGCAGCAGGCGGGCAACCAGGCTCCTCCAATGCACAGTGGCGAGATTGGTCTCGTCACAGTATCCTCCTTTACTGTGTTGATTCCCTTTATGTATTTAAATGTTTCTATCATATCCCCCCGTCTCATCTTTCCTCCAAGCTATACATGTTAAGATCCTTTAACCTTTCCTGGTAAGTTTTATCTTGCAATTCATGAACCAGTTTATCTGAACTCTTTCCAAAGTATCAATATCCTTCTGAAGATATGGTCTCCAGTACTGCGTACAATACTCCAAGTGAGGTTTCTTCTGTACAATGGCATGAGCACTTCCCTCTTTCTACTGCTAATACCTCTCCCTATACAACCAAGCATTCTGCTAGAATTTCCTACTGCTCTATTAAATTGTCTTCCTACCTTTAAGTCATCTGAAATAATTACTCCTAAATCCTTTTCCACAGATGTTGAGTTTATTAAGGTATCAAATATTCTATATTCTGCCCTTGGGTTTTTACTCCCAAGATGAATTTTCCTGCACTTATCCACATTAAATGTCAGTTGCCATTGGTCTGACCATTTTTCTAATTTACCTAAATCATTTGCTATTTGGCTTATCCCTCCTGGAACATCAACACTGTTGCAAATTGTAGTATCATCAGCAAAAAGACATACCTTACCATCAAGACCTTCTGCAATATCACTAATGAAAATATTCAAGAGAATGGGTCCAAGTACAGATCCCTGAGGTACCCCACTGGTAACTAGGCCTTGCTTCAAATATAATCCATTGACTACAACCTTCTGTTGCCTGTCATTCAGGTATTGAGCCTTAACAACATTTTGGGGTTCAGTAGCAAAGATGACTAAAAACTAAGTGTTAAGTAATATGTTTTACATTCTTCCATTGTTTATGACTGGGAGATCACTAAATGCTGTTGACAAGTACAGAAATGAAAAGGAAAATAATTTCACATTTTCCTCTCCAAGTTACACATTGAGTGGTCTAGTATAGAGAATTTTCTTTATCACTTGTCTCATAGAAACAGGGCCAGATTAAGAGCCCAGTGGGCCTGGTGCTGACAATTATGATGGGGCCAAATTCCAGAATCTTATCGACCAAAAACCATGACAGTCATACCTCCCAAGCTTCATGTATCTAATGGAGATTGTGTTGGGTGCAGGGCCAGATTAAGAGCCCAGTGGGCCTGGTGCTGACAATTATGATGGGGCCAAATTCCAGAATCTTATCGACCAAAAACCATGACAGTCATACCTCCCAAGCTTCATGTATCTAATGGAGATTGTGTTGGGTGCAGGGCCAGATTAAGAGCCCAGTGGGCCTGGTGCTGACAATTATGATGGGGCCTAATTCCAGAATCTTATCGACCAAAAACCATAACAGTCATACCTCCCAAGCTTCATGTATCTAATGGAGATTGTGTTGGATGGAAACTGAAAGGATGCAGCTATAAGAAAACACATACTCTATGCTAATCTCTCTCTAATTTATGCTTTCATCTTTCAAGTAAATCCATACCCCATAACAGCAGTGTCCAGTGAAGCAGGAAGTCAATGGGCAATGTAAAAGGGTGGGCCACTGAAGCGAATCACGTGACCAGAACTGCAAAAAGAGGTGAACATGCCCAAAAAAGGGGGCATGTCTGTCCAAAGAATTGGAAGGCCAGCCTGGATACCCTATGTATCACAGTGTCAGTGTCCCCATGTCGCCCAGTCTCCGAGTGTCTGTGTCCTCATTTCTCCCTGTGTCCCCATGTCTGTGTTTCCCATTTTACTAGGATACTAGGGGACACTGAGAGACATGGGGACACTGAGAGACCTGGGGACACAGAGACCCAGGGACACTGAGACACATGGGGGTACTGAGACACTGAGAGACCGGGGGACACAGAGACCCAGGGACACTGAGACACATGGGGGTACTGAGACATGGGGACACAGACACTAGGGACACAGAGACATGGGGACACTGAGACATTTGGCCATGCTAAGGTACTAGGGACACTGAGACATGGGAACACAGACATTGGGAGACTAGGGGACACTGAGACACTAGGGACATTGGCTGGGATGCATGGGGACACTGAGACACTTGGGGACACTGGGAGACATGGGAGCACTTGTGGACATAGACATGGGGACACTGGGAGACATGGTGACACTGGCTGGGAGACATGTGAACATTGAGAGACATGGGGACACTGAGACACTTGGGGACACTGGGAGACATGGGGGAACTTGTGGACATAGACATGGGGACACTGGGAGACATGGGGGCACTGCAAAATGTGGGGTCACTGGGAGACATGGGGACACTGAGAGACTGACTGGGAGACATAAGGAGACTGGGAGACATGGTGACACTGGCTGGGAGACATGTGGACATTGAGAGATATGGGGACACAGACATTTGGGGACACTGGGAGACCTGGGGGCCATGGGGACACTGAGACACTTCGGACACTGAGAGACATGGGGACACAGACACTGGGAGCCATGGGAACACTGAGAAACCCAGGGACACAGTGACATAGGGACACTGAGACACTTGGGGACATGGGGAAACATGGGGACACAGACACTAGGGACACAGACATGGGGCACAGAGACATGGGGACACTGAGACATTTGGGGACACTAAGTTACTAGGGACACTGAGACATGGGAACACAGACACTGGGAGACTGGGGACACTAGGAGACATGGGGGCACTTGTGGACATAGACATGGGTACACTGGGAGACTGAAAAATGTGGGGAGACTGAGAGACACTTGGGGACACTAGGAAACATGGGGGCACTTGTGGACATAGACATGGGTACACTGGGAGACTGAAAAATGTGGGGACACTGAGAGACATGGGGACACTGAGACACTGGCTGGGAGACATAGGGACACTGGGAGACATGGTGACACTGGCTGGGAGACATGTGGACACTGGGAGACATGGGGACACAGACATTTGGGGACACTGGGAGACATGGGGACACTGGGGGCCATGGGGACACTGGGGGCCATGGGGACACTGAGACACTTTGGACATTGAGAGACTTGGGGACACAGACACCGGGAGACTAGGGGACACTGGTAGCCATGGGGACACTGAGATACTAGAGACACTGGTTGGGAGACATGGAGACACTGTGTCCCTAGTGTCTCCGTGTCCCAATGTGTCTCACAGCATCCCCATGTGTCTCAGTGTCCCCATGTGTCTGTGTCCCCATGTGTCCCCTAGTGTCTTGGTGTCCCCATGTTTCCCTGCTGCCTTTCCCCCATCCTTCACTTCCCTGAACTGTAGTCTGTCTCTGCAGGTTGGGAGCTGCTGTCTGAAATTTCTGTGGTGTGTAGCTGCTCCCACATGGATCAGTGAGTAGAGAGAGGCAGGGAGGGTTATGCTTTAACTTCCTATCCCTGCCTCTCTCCACCCCTACTGGCTGGTGCTGGTATTGCAGAGTAATCTCCATTTATACTGAAAAAAAATCTGCCAGGCAGACTCAAATATCGGCTGTGCTGGTAAAATACCAGTCAGGTGGCAAACCCAAGAGTAGTGTGAGAAAAAAAAAAGTAAAAAAATATATATATTTTTTTTAATGGGCCTAGTTCATGGGCCTGGAGCTGCAGCTCCATCAGCCCCTATGTTAATCCAGCCATGACTGAGACACATGGGGATGCTGTGAGACATAGGGATATTAGGAGACACATTGGGACACGGAGACACTAGGGACACAGTGTCTCCATGTCTCCCAGCCAGTGTCCCTAGTATCTCAGTGTCCCCATGTCTCCCAGTGTCCCCAAAAGTTTTTGTCCCCATGTCTCCCATTGTCCACATGTCTCCCAGCCAGTGTCCACATGTCTCCCAGCCAGTGTCACCATGTCTCCCAGTGTCCCTATGTCTCCCAGCCAGTGTCTCAGTGTCCCCATGTCTCTCAGTGTCCCCATTTATCCCAGTGTCCCCACATTTTTCAGTCTCCCAGTGTACCCATGTCTATGTCCACAAGTGCCCCCATGTCTCCTAGTGTCCCCAAGTGTCTCAGTTTCCCTATGCCTCCCAGCCAGTGTCCCCATGTCTCCCAGTGTCCCCACATTTTTCAGTGTCCCCATGTCTCCCAGTGTCCCCATGTTTATGTTCACAAGTTCCCCCATGTCTCCCAGTGTCCCCAACTGTCTCAGTGTCCCCACTTTTCTAACACACTTATTATTTTTTTACATTTTATTTATGAATGTATAAAAAAACTCATGGCACTGTCCCATCCACAGAAAGCAGAGTTCACATCACTAGAATGAATCCAAGCAGTTGGAAGATTTGCCCACTCAAAACAATCAAGATGCAGGTCCTAAAAATATAAACCTGTCCATAAAAATGTTCTCTTCTATAACCAAAAGTGTTTTAGAATTACAGAAGATCCTGGCACACTATAATTAAAATGTATGCCATCAAGCACCACTAGAGACTAGCTTTAAAAAAAGAAACAAAAGAAGAAAAAAAAAGCTTTGTCATACTAACAAAGTAGATGCAGATACTCTTTGCCAGAAACATTTTCTCATGGAAAGAAAAAGAGAAAAAAAAAAAAAAGCTGCAACGTCAAGCGATTTACTGCAAAACAAGAGAGTCTTTATCTACTTAGTTCTGTGCATTAATTGTGGCCTGTGAAACTGCTAAAATGTTTGCAACTAAATGTCACATTTGCATTATGTGACCTTTTATTACAAGCTGTATTCCATGCCCCTGCTGTTTAGGGCAATGCAGGGAAGAGGGGGTCAAGGAGGGGAGGAAAGGAGGGTGAAAACAGATGAGAAGAAAAGCTAGAAGAAAGGTCAATGTGAATTTAAGTGGAAACAGACTTTAGCCAGACCTGATTTAAATACCTAAAGTGCGAGTAGCTCACATTGATAATAAAAGTTATTGGTCCTAGA